GAGAAAGAAGAAGAAAAGGAGAGAGAGAAAAAGCAAGAAGAAAAAAGGAGAGAGAGAAAGCAAGAAGAAAAAGGAGAGAGAGAGAAAGCAAGAAGAAAAAGGAGAGAGAGAGAAAGCAAGAAGAAAAAGGAGAGAGAGAGAAAGCAAGAAGAAAAAGGAGAGAGAGAGAAAGCAAGAAGAAAAAGAGAGAGAGAAAGAAAGAAGAAAAGGAGAGAGAGAGAAAGAAAGAAAAAAGGGAGAGAGAGAGAAAGCAAGAAGAAAAAAGGAGAGAGAGAGAAAGCAAGAAAAAGAGAAAGAGAGAGAGAGAAAAGCAAGAAGAAAAAAGGAGAGAGAGAGAGAAAAGCAAGAAGAAAGGAGAGAGAGAGAGAAAGCAAGAAGAAAAAAGAGAGAGAGAGAAAGAAGAAAAAAGGAGAGAGAGAGAGAGAAAGCAAGAAGAAAAAAAGGAGAGAGAGAGAGAGAAAAGAAGAAAAGGAGAAGAAGAAAGAGAAGAAAAGGAGAGAGAGAGAGAGAAAGCAAGAAGAAAAAGGAGAGAGAGAGAGAGAAAGCAAGAAGAAAAAGGAGAGAGAGAGAGAGAAAGCAAGAAGAAAAAGGAGAGAGAGATGCTCTCTGTCATCAAATAAAAGATGTAATCATAATAAATAGAGGAGGGTGTAGAAGTCAAAAAAATAGTAACTAGTAGTAGTTATGTCAGATCTATATTCATAAACTATATTTTCCGTTTGCATATTTGTAGTTCAAATGAACCAAGCACAGAAGATATTTCTCAAAAAGAAAGTTTGTAATGGCTTCCCACTACTGTTCAAAACAGTTTTTAATCTATTGAATAGGTAGACTATGAACAGTCAAAAGTTAGCAAGCAGTGGATGGAGGCCCTATCAGACTGCAGGTTGGGTGTTTGGGAAAAAAAAATAATAATAAATGAATAAAATAAATTAACCAAGCAAGTAAGTCATTTCTTTGGCACCTGAGAGTCTGCAAATGGCCGACTGGAATTTAGTCATACAAGACAACATTACATGGCCAAATTTGAAACCATCTGAGAGATTAAAAAAATAAATAAATAAATAAAATAAACCGAATTCTACCATGATTTGGAAATAAACAAAATAAAATCACTCATTCCAGTCTAAAAAGATCAGATTGAGTTATCATAAACAAAGTGTATAAAAAAGTCACATGAGTGAGTGAGTGGATAAAGCACTGGGAACGATGAAAACCAGCAAGGAACTACACACAAGAACCAGAATTTGCATTACTTACCTGTGGCCAGGCATACACACAAGAACCAGAACTTGCATTATTCACCTGTGGTCATTTTGGACAACACTCTGGCCTTTATCAGGTAATTAATGATCAGGACAACCGACAGGGGATTTAAAATGGAACCATTTATTTAATTTATGGAGGTAGATGGTTCTCATTCCACTGCCTATGCTTAAACATTAACTTTTAATTCCAGAAATTCAAACAGAAACTAGAATGATAGACAATTAAAGAAAAAATATTCTTTGGAATTTGAAAATTCAAAAAGATCAACCTGACCAGGCCAGAGGATGACTAGCTTGAGGTATTACAAACAAAAAAGCTGATGAAACACTAAGTGATATACATGTGGTTCTACAGAGCGATGTTGTGAATACCATAGACAAAACATGTGAGCAACGAGGAAGTTTTAAGGACAATGGCAACTAAGAATAAACTTATGCACAAAAGCAGAAAGATCTGATTTTATTTATCTGGTCAACGGCATATCAACTTCTTATGGGTCATTTAATGCTGAAATTTAATTTTCTTGGGAGCTTTAAAGTAATAGAAATAAAAAAATGAAGTAATAAAAATATATGTTATTCTCCTTTCACAACTGATTACATGGTAGATAATACTCAGCTTTTGTGTATATACATGTTTGTGTGGGCATGATTACAATAGGCAGTGATATGTGTGTTTTATGTTTTAGTTTTGTTGAAGTTATATTTTGGAATACAATTTGATTTCTTTAAGAAATTGTAGGATATTTAAGGACATAAGGACAATCCACTCCCAACTCGAGAAGTGGGAGCAGGAAATTGATACCTGCCAAGTAATCCACAGCTGTGTACCAATAACAAAAAGGCTCAAGTCAAGACACAGCTTTTTACACTCAGCTCTCTTTCAACCATAAAGAATCCCTCCCTATTGGCTCCAGAGATGCCCTAGCCATTCTGGTCCTACCTAAATCACCAACCTTCAGAAATGGATATATACAACCAATGTTGATTTCAACTGCCAATGCAAGAAATCACATTAATTAATATATTGTTGGTAGTTTTACTATAAATATGTACTGTTGGTAAATTTTTTTATATAAAAATGTCTGGTATTTTTATTATGAAAATGTATTTTTATACTTTCAGAGTGTTTTGTTTTGTTTGGCGGGGGGGGGGGGTCCCTGTTTGTCCACAGCTGGGACCCTAACAGGTGCTACCACCCTCAGTCAGGGTGGACCTAGGGACAACAGCAATTAAGAAGTTATGTAATTAGGCAAAGAATATTTAGGAAAGAAAAATAAAACAATTATTAAACTGATGATATACACTCATAAAGGTGAAATTGTGGAAAAATTATTTGTATCACTCTATATGTAAAAAAAAGCCAATTAGGTAAAGGTGGTAGCCAGAATAACTCTTTATTCCACATGTTAACAACAGCATGGTCAAGAAAATAAAGACTATAAAAGCATTGCAATTTGATATGCCTGGCTTTCCAGTGATATGACATTTACCTAATTTGATTGGTTGTTTCTTTAACAGCACATCAACTCCTTATGGGTTATTTAATGCTGAAATTTAATTTTCTTGGCAGCTTTGACGTAATAAAAATATATGTTATTCTCCTTTCACAATTGAATACATGGTAGATGATACTCTGTTTTTATGCATATACATGTTTGTGCGGACATAATGACTAGAGGTTGTGATATGTATGTTCTATATGTTGTAGTTTTGTTGAAGTTATATTTTGAAATACAGTTTGATTTCTTCAAAAAAAAAAAAAAATTGTAAGATATATGGATTAATGTCATGAAAGAGTTCTTGCGTGTTGATTGATGTAAATATCTAAACATATCGGAGGTTTGATTTGATTTGTTTAGCGGCATAACAACTCCTTATGGGTCATTTAATGTCGAACTCGAGTTTTCTTTGGAGCTTTGAAGTTATAAAAATATATGTTATTCTGTTTTTACAGTTGAGTACATGGTAGAAGAAACTCAGCTTTTATGCATATACATGTTTGGGTGGACATAATTACTAGAGGCGATGATATGCATGTTTTATGTTGTAGTTTTGTTGAAGCTATATTTTGGAATACAATTTGATTTCTTTAAGAAATCATAGAATATTAAATAGATTAATACATGGTCTGATGATTGCATTTAGCATGAAACAAACTGTCACCAATGGGTGTTGAATTCAATGTCCACCTTTATATTTAAATATGCTTTATAACCTGATATTGAGCAGTAACCCATAAACATAGCATACCTTAAAACCTCGTTTTATCATTATATACAGTGCTGTTCGATAAAAGTGACTCACCTGATTTTTTTTACTAAATGTTCTCTTCTCCGATCAAACAAAAGTTGAGCTAAATTCAAAGGATAAGCGATCTAAAATCTGAAGAAGAAGCTTTGAAAGCTCTTTGAAATTAGTAATTACTGTCAAGCATCCGTTCAGTATAATGTTCTGGGGATGCTTTTCTTTTCATGGAACTGGTTTCTTAAAACCTATTGAAAAGTTCCTCAGGAGCGATCAATACAAGAGAATTTTAGAGTCTTGTCTGCTCCCTTCTGCTGAAAGGGTGCAAATCGACCCCACCAAGCTCATTTTTATGCAGGATGATGCTCCCTGTCACAAATCAAAATTGATGAAGGAATACTTTGATGAGAAGCAGGTGAGTGTTACGACATGGCCGCCCCAATCTCCTGACATCAACCCCATAGAAAACTTATGGTTCATGTTGCTCAACTGCTTTCTTGAGAGCTTGTACTTTATAATGCTCTATAAGTTTTAAAAAATCCACATTACAACCAAAAACGTTTGCGGTTTCTCTCTTCTTTTTAATATAAACTCCTTTCTCTCGGAACTACTATAACTTCTTCCCTTATATATATATATATATATATATATATATATATATAGATAGTGGGGTTATCTATATTATTTACTGTTGGACTAATATCCTTATCTTTGTTATAACAACATTTCGGCCAATGTGCTCTCAAGCCTTCTTCAGATTACTTAGATAGGAAAAAGACTGGAGAAAACAGAAACTGAAGCATTTTGATAACAACATCATAGATGAGGATATCTGTCCATTTTTAATCCATGTGCATAATGGTATATTTTTATGTTTTGAATTCTTTTCATCTGGTGTGACATACTCAGGTGACAACTTACGACTTAAAAATGTACCGATATACTTATCTCCCATCACTTTTTTTTTTTTTTTGACATGCCACCTTTCAGTCAGGTAGCTTCTCAACATTTATCATGGTATTGTCCAACCTGTAATACTCTATGAATATGCAATTACACTATGACACCATCCCTGAATTGCCGAACACTGCATATAAAGCAATCATAAATACTTGATGAGACAGGCCATAAATAAGCTAACAGAATTTTATGGAAGCACACATGAAGGAAAAACATTTCATAGAAGGATAGCATGAAAGCTGGGTCTGTTTTTTGACATCTCTTATTATTAAAAATCCACAACATTATTCAATCATCAAAGATCTTTTTTCCTTGATTGTTTCTAACTAAAGATGGATCTTTTCAGCTAAATTTTCTATTTGACCATGTTCTGTTTACAAGCAGTAAGTCTTTCAAGGTCTTTAATTTGCAAGATTCCCCAAGCAAAGAATATAGCAAGGAACAAATTAAAGAGACAAGTCTGGAGAGTGGTGAACATGCAGAAAGAAAGTTTCCCTGATTGTTTGTTGCATTGCATTTGAAATATTAAGATGAGGAAGAGAGAGAAAAATTGGGAGAAGTAGGAGAAAATGGAAACAAAAGAATCGAAGAGGGGCAAACAGGGAGAAAGGTGAGAAAAGAAAAAGTCATCAAAAAAAAGGGATGAGGAGGATGACAGAAGAGTAGGAAGGGAGGAGGAGGATGACAAGAGTAGGAAGGGAGGAGGAGGATGTCAAGAGTAGGAAGGGAGAAGGAGGATGACAGAAGAGAAAAGCGGCTCAAAGTGGGAGGGAGAGAAAAGGAGCTGGAAGTGGGAGGGAGAGAAAAGGAGCTGGAAGGGAGGGAGAGAAAAGGAGCTGGAAGTGGGAGGGGAGAGAAAGGAGCTGAAGTGGAGGGAGAGAAGAAGAAGGGGCTAGAGGAGAGAGGGAGAGAAGAAGAAGGGGGGCTAGAGGAGAGAGGGAGAGAAGAAGAAGGGGCTAGAGGAGAGAAGAAGAAGGGGGCTAGAGGAGAGAAGAAGAAGGGGCTAGAGGAGAAAGAAGAAGGGGCTAGAGGAGAGAAGAAGAAGGGGGCTAGAGGAGAGAAGAAGAAGGGGCTAGAGGAGAGAAGAAGAAGGGGCTAGAGGAGAGAAGAAGAAGGGGCTAGAGGAGAGAAGAAGAAGGGGCTAGAGGAGAAGAAGAAGGGGGCTAGAGAGGAGAAGAAGAAAGGGGCTAGAGGAGAGAAGAAGAAGGGGGCTAGAGGAGAGAGGGAGAAAGAAGAAGGGGGCTAGAGGAGAGAGGGAGAAGAAGAAGGGGGGCTAGAGGAGAGAGGGAGAGAAGAAGAAGGGGGCTAGAGGAGAGAGGGAGAGAAGAAGAAGGGGGCTAGAGGAGAGAGGGAGAGAAGAAGAAGGGGGCTAGAGGAGAGAGGGAGAGAAGAAGAAGGGGGCTAGAGGAGAGAGGAGAGAGAAGAAGAAGGGGGCTAGAGGAGAGGGAGAGAAGAAGAAGGGGGCTAGAGGAGAGAGGGAGAGAAGAAGAAGGGGGCTAGAGGAGAGAGGGAGAGAAGAGTAAAGGGGAAGAAGAGGGAGTGAAAATGAGATGGGAGAGAGAAGAGTAAAGAGGAGGAGAAGGCAAGAAAAGAGAGAGGGTTATGGAGAAAAAAGCTCTGGAATTGAAAAGAATGATAGTAAAAAAAAAAAAAAAAAAAAAAAAATCTGTTATTAACATGCAAATATTACCATTACTTTCAGAAGAAAGGTAATATATACCCATATATAATTTTTGCCACTAATTCCATGTAATAATTGCCGAAATACATATTTGTCCTTTTTTGTTTCACTTGTTATTTAGCATTTTTTTTTTTTAATATTGTCTGTAATAGAAAAAATTTCTTTAAAAAATGGCATCCTGCATTCTTCCTAAAACTCATTCTATAATTATGTTAAAGTTGGTAAAAATGTTGGTCAGACTATTTCATTTTAATGGCCATAATAATGGAAGTGAAAATTATTTTACCAAATCTAATTTTTTTCAATGGGCCATTCCTATTTATTATTTGGTAAATACATTTAATAATGAACTGTTCACTCCAACATCCAGTCTAAAATATATGGTAATTCCTTGTCATGGAAAAGAGCGTGTCCCAGTGATCCCAAGAGTGAAGCCATGTGGAGTTTCAATTCCTTTAGTGCCATCCATGGTGGTAAGGTCAAGGTGGAGGAAGCAGACTGAATGTGACCAATCCCTGAAGATCCCAGTGGAAGAATAGGCTATGATCTAAATCATCTCAATAACCAAACTGGCAGAAGAGAGCAGCGCCAGTCAGGCTGGTATAACCAAGGTGAACCTTGACAGATCAAGCAGTGAACTGCCCCACGCTACCAGGTTTGCCAGATCTCACTTGTCTCAATCCCCTTTGAGCCGTAAGAGGTGCTTCTTGCAAAGTATGTGGGCTTCTCCGTCATGCAGAGTGGTTCACCAAAATCAAATCCACACGAATGGCCTCGTCAAACTGACTACTCTTCAGGAGTAGACTGGGCCTTCACAGCCATCTCTGCCGCTGCTATCATTGGGGAGACAGAGAATAAGGAGAGAAGATGACGATCCTAATGCGAGTAGACGCTGACTACTATTTGGTAAATTATTAGTTAGTAAGAATTAAAAAAAAATAACGTCCTCATTAGTATAAAAGTATGCAATAACCAAATTTTTCGGGTGATGTAAGTATATGAAATATTTAGAAAAAAGAAATTTAAAAAAAAGTACATTTAAAACTAACTTTTAAATAATGTACAAGATAAGATAATTTTGCTGCCAGATGCTTGGAAACATAACTTCAACATGAGTCGGCATCTCTGTTCTTGCAAGAATTAATAGAGTACAAGGAGTAAGTAGGTTTGTCTATCATCAAGTTCACTGTCCTCCCCAGTCTTTCAGACAGTAGAAGTTTATGTCTTATTTTCTGTTGTTTCTAAAGTTTTCCCATTCTCTTTCACATCCAGTAGCTACTTACATTTTAGTAGCATTATTGCCTTCTTTGGGAGAGAGAAAGAGAGAGAAAGGAAAAAAGAGAGACAAAGGAAAAAAGAGAGACAAAGGAGAAAAAAGAGAAAGAAGAGAAGAGAAGAGAAAGAGAGAAAGAAGAGAAAGAAGAGAAGAGAAAGAGAGAAAGAAGAGAAAGAGAGAAAGAAGAGAAAGAGAGAAAGAAGAGAAGAGAAAGAGAGAAAGAAGAGAAAGAAGAGAAGAGAAAGAGAGAAAGAAGAGAAAGAAGAGAAGAGAAAGAGAGAAAGAAGAGAAAGAAGAGAAGAGAAAGAGAGAAAGAAGAGAAAGAAGAGAAAAATATGGAAAAGAAAGAAAAATATGGAAAAAAGAAGAAGAAGAAAGAAGAAATGTGACAGAGAATGAAAATTTTTTAGAAGGACCTGGAAACCAAATCCTAAACAAGGGATAAACCTTTACTTTTGTTGAAAAGACCAGGGCGGAATGTAAACCAGACGAGAGGCAAACCTATCTACTCCTATTGAGGAGAAAAAAATATCCTTAAATATAATATGCCACATTACATGAGTTCTTTTTTAAAATTTTGACATGAAACAGAAGTCATGACCCCATTCACATCCACACAAACACAATAAGGATAAAATATGGATATCTTTCCTAAGGTGTTTATAAATTGTATAATGTTCAATTATTATCATTAACAACGAACTATTTTGAATAACAAACTTATATTTGGATTAAATGAAATTTACTTACAATATAATACATATTACTTATAATACATTCTTTCTTGCCATCAAATATCTGACAGAATGGGTTCACTAGTAAATAAATAATTACTAAATTATTGGATGAAGTTGTTAGAAGTATAGAGTTTAGGTAGAATTTAGAAGGAAGTGGAAACCCAATCCTAAACAGGGAACAAGGGATAAACCTCTACTCCTGTTTACTAAGCAAAAAGAACAAAAGAAAAAAAAAGTGATAAACTGTTATGTAAACAGAATGCATGGTCATCAACAAAAGGATGAGCCCGAAATGTGATTTGCAGGTCGGGAACACTAGAATCAAGCAGACTCTGTAGTTTAAATATCTGGGAAGTGTTCTGACAGAAGATTGTAAGTGCAACACTGAGATCCGCAGATGCACTGGGATGGCCAAGGACACATGACAAAAGCTGGGCAGAGTATTGCGAGACAGGAGGATTTCTTTGGTAACAAAGAAAAGAATAATGAACTGTTACGTGACATCTGTCTTTCTTTACGGCAGCGGATTTTGGACGATTTCCTCAAAGATGAAGAAGAGACTCGAGGCGATGTAGCTCTACAGAGGAATGCTAAGGATATCGTGGACCGAACATATTAGGATGGCCAAGGATGCATTCCAAAAGCTGGAGAGAGTATTGCAAGGCAGGAGGATTTCTTTGGTAATAAAGAAAAGAATACTGAACTGTTACGTGTCATCTGTCCTTCTTTACGGCAGCGAATGTTGGACAATTTCCTCAAAGATGAAGAGACTCAAGATGACAGAGATGTGGTTCTACAGAAGAATGCTAAGGACATCATGGACCGAGTGTGTAAGCAACGATGAGGTCTTAGAGAGGATGCAAACAAGAAGAAGACTTATACTTAACATCAGGAAGAGGCAGCTAAAGTTCCTGGGACACATAATGAGGAAGGAGGGCCTGGAAAATTATATATTCACGAGACGAATAGAGGGAAAGGGAGACAAGGAAAAACAATGCATGACATACCTGGCGGATTTAAGCAAGTGGATGACAGAACACGGTCTGGGGGAGGTGGCAGAGCTGCAAGGGATAGAGGAAAGTGGAGAGCCATGTTCGTTTACATCCTGAAAGGACATGGCACATAAAAAGAAAAAGAATTCTTCTGAGATCTGCAAGGGGTGGGGGGAGGTGGAGAGCCATGATCGCCTGCGACCTGAAAGGACATGGCACATAAAAAGAATTCTTCTGAGAGCTACAAGGGATAGAGGGAGGTGGAGAGACATGATCGCCTACGTCCTGAAAGGACATGGAACATAAAAAGAAAAAGAATTCTTCTGAGAGCTGCAAGGGATAGAGGGAGGTGGAGAGCCATGATCGTCTACGTCCTGAAAGGATATGGCACATAAAAAGAAAAAGAATTCTTCCAAGACCTACATGGGATAGAGGGAGGTGGAGAGACATGATCATCTACGTCCTGAAAGGACATGGCACATAAAAAGAAAAAGAATTCTTATGAGAGCTGCAAGGGATAGAGGGAGGTGGAGAGCCATGATCGCCTGCGACCTGAAAGGACATGGCACATAAAAAGAAAAAGAATTCTTCTGAGAGCTGCAAGGGATAGAGGGAGGTGGAGAGCCATGATCGCCTACGTCCTGAAAGGACATGGCACATAAAAAAAAAAAGAATTCTTCTGAGAGCTGCAAGGGATAGAGGGAGGTGGAGAGCCATGATCGTTTACATCCTGAAAGGACATGGCACATAAAAAGAAAGAAGAATGCAAGTCCTGTTTCCATGGCTGCGAATGCTTGGACAATTTCCTCACAGCTGGAGAAGAGAATTTAGGCAACAGAAATTTCTTTCTACAGAAGGATGCTGAGAATATCAGGGATCAAACTGTTGAGTAATGAGAAAGATTTAAGAAAAAATGGAAATAAAAACTTTGCTTCTTTTGTCAAGAGGGCTCGGAGAATCTGACACTCATGAGACATACTGGAGGTCAGATGGACAGAAGGACGCAGTGAATAAACTAAGCCTGTCTAAATGGATGGTAGAAAAGGGAGTGGGAAGGATAGTAAAAACAGTAAGTATTGCTAAGAACAGGAAGTTGTGGAGAGCCACAGTCAGCCCATGTCCTGGAAAGACATGGTACATAGAAGCAGTAGAGAGAATTGAAACGATTATTTTTATTGTTCATTTCCAAATTAAAATCAATAAAATGCAAAGATTTACTAATAAAAAAAAGGATAAAAAAAAAACAAAAAAAAAAACAAAGATGACTTAACCACAACCAAGATCTTGAGACTGATAGAAAATGTCTGCCAGACAGCCACACACTAATGTAACTACTACGTGCAACAGAAATGGTTAGTAAGTCGAACAAAACAAATTCCTGTCTTTATTTATCTGACTAATCCTACTACTAGTTGCATATCAAGAAACTGTAAAGTTATTTACATAAAATTATGATGCTTACCAATATACTCAGTGAACATAAAAAAGAATGTCTCCTGTTTGAGTGGGAGACTTGACACTTAACTCACCCCCCCACTAAATAGAATGGTATGTATAATAAATTTTTTGGTAGAATTTTAAAGAGATTTTCTTTTAAAAGAATAATTCTTTGTTTAAAGTTTGAAAATATTGCAAATAGATAAAGAGAGAGACGTAGTAAATGAGAGTAACTAAAGTGCAATGTACACAGAGGAAGAGAGAGTGATGAACAAGTGATGAAGGTTGACAGAGGTAGAAAGATGGAAAGAGAGAGTATCCAGAGTGATATAGGCTGACACAGAGAAAGAGTAATGGAAGGGTGATGTAGGCTTAGGGAGGGAGGGGAAACTGAAGGGTGATGCAGGCTGACAGACAGAGGGGAGAAGGTAACTGAAGAGTGATATAGGCCGGAAGAGAGAGAAAGAGTAACCAAAGAGTGATATAAGTTGAGAGAGAGAGAGTGTAACCAAAGAGCGATGCAGGCTGACAGAGAGAGAGAGAGTGACCAAAGAGCGATGCAGGCTGACAGAGAGAGAGAGAGAGAGAGTGACCAAAGAGCGATGCAGGCTGACAGAGAGAGAGAGAGAGAGAGAGGACCAAAGAGCGATGCAGGCTGACAGAGAGAGAGAGAGAGAGAGACCAAAGAGCGATGCAGGCTGACAGAGAGAGAGAGAGAGAGACCAAAGAGCGATGCAGGCTGACAGAGAGAGAGAGAGAGAGAGAGAGGACCAAAGAGCGACCAGAGAGAGAGAGAGAGAGACCAAAGAGCGAGGCAGGGACAGAGAGAGAGAGAGAGAGAGACCAAAGAGCGATGACAGAGAGAGAGAGGACCAAAGAGCGATGCAGGCTGACAGAGAGAGAGAGAGAGACCAAAGAGCGATGCAGGCTGGACAGAGAGAGAGAGAGAGTGACCAAAGAGCGATGAGGCTGACAGAGAGAGAGAGAGAGGACCAAAGAGCTGGGCAGGCTGACAGAGAGAGAGAGAGAGAGGACCAAAGAGCGATGCAGGCTGACAGAGAGAGAGAGAGAGAGGGACCAAAGAGCAGGCTGACAGAGAGAGAGAGAGAGAGGACCAAAGAGAGAGAGAGGACAAAGAGGCTGACAGAGAGAGAGAGAGAGTGACCAAAGAGCGGCGGGCTGACAGAGAGAGAGAGAGAGACCAAAGAGCAATGCAGGCTGAGAGAGAGAGAAAGAGCGATGAAGGACAGAGAGAGAGAGAGTGACCAAAGAGCGATGCAGGGACAGAGAGAGAGAGGACTGAGCGATGAAGGAGAGAGAGAGAGAGAGGACCAAAGAGCCGATGCAGGCTGACAGAGAGAGAGAGAGTGACCAAAGAGCGATGCAGGCTGGACAGAGAGAGAGACCAAAGAGCCATTATGCAGGCTGACAGAGAGAGAGAGAGTGACCAAAGAGCGGCGGGCTGGACAGAGAGAGAGAGAGGACCAAAGCGATGCAGGCTGACAGAGAGAGAGAGAGAGTGACCAAAGGCTGACAGAGAGAGAGAGAGAGAGACCAAAGAGCGATGCAGGCTGACAGAGAGAGAGAGAGAGAGAGTGACCAAAGAGCGATGCAGGCAAGAGAGAGAGAGAGAGTACCAAAGAGCGCAGGCTGACAGAGAGAGAGAGAGAGAGACCAAAGAGCGATGCAGGCTGACAGAGAGAGAGAGAGAGAGGACCAAAGAGCGATGCAGGCAGAGAGAGAGAGAGAGAGTGACCAAAGAGCCGGCGCAGGCTGACAGAGAGAGAGAGAGAGTGACCAAAGAGCGAGAGGCTGACAGAGAGAGAGAGAGTGACCAAAGAGCGATGCAGGCTGACAGAGAGAGAGAGGACCAAAGAGCGACCAGGCTGACAGAGAGAGAGAGAGACCAAAGAGCGATGCAGGCTGACAGAGAGAGAGAGAGAGTGACCAAAGAGCGAGCTGACAGAGAGAGAGAGAGAGTGACCAAAGAGCTGACTGGGACACAGAGAGAGAGAGAGAGAGGACCAAAGAGCGATGCAGGCTGACAGAGAGAGAGAGAGAGACCAAAGAGCGATGCAGGCTGACAGAGAGAGAGAGAGAGGGACCAAAGAGCGATGCAGGCTGACAGAGAGAGAGAGAGAGAGACCAAAGAGCGATGCAGGCTGACACAGAGAGAGAGAGAGTGACCAAAGAGCGATGCAGGCTGGACACAGAGAGAGAGAGAGAGGACCAAAGAGCCAGCAGGCTGACAGAGAGAGAGAGAGGACCAAAGAGCGATGCAGGCTGACAGAGAGAGAGAGAGAGAGAGAGGACCAAAGAGCGATGCAGGCTGACAGAGAGAGAGAGAGAGTGACCAAAGAGCGATGCAGGCTGACAGAGAGAGAGAGAGTGACCAAAGAGCGATGCAGGCTGACAGAGAGAGAGAGAGAGAGACCAAAGAGCGATGCAGGCTGACAGAGAGAGAGAGTGACCAAAGAGCGATGCAGGCTGAGAGAGAGAGAGTGACCAAAGAGCGTAGGCTGACAGAGAGAGAGAGAGACCAAAGAGCGATGCAGGCTGACAGAGAGAGAGAGAGAGAGACCAAAGAGCGATGCAGGCTGACAGAGAGAGAGAGAGAGGACCAAAGAGCGATGCAGGCTGACAGAGAGAGAGAGAGAGACCAAAGAGCGATGCAGGCTGACAGAGAGAGAGAGAGAGGACCAAAGAGCGATGCAGGCTGACAGAGAGAGAGACCAAAGAGCGATGCAGGCTGACAGAGAGAGAGAGACCAAAAGAGCGATGCAGGCTGACAGAGAGAGAGAGAGAGTGACCAAAGAGCGATGCAGGCTGACAGAGAGAGAGAGAGAGTGACCAAAGAGCGATGCAGGCTGACAGAGAGAGAGAGAGAGTGACCAAAGAGCGATGCAGGCTGACAGAGAGAGAGAGGTACATTTCATAATGTATACTCTGTATTTTTTCTTTCCCATCTGAATGAATTAAAAAATCATCCATTTTCCCCAAGCCTCAATTCAATAAGTTAGAAAGAAGCAAGATTTTGACAGACCAAAATACTGTTGATTACCAAAAAATCCATTGACCCTGACCCCCCCAAATTTCAATTCAAATTTGCCCACCTGATCCCAAACCTCAGCAATGATCAAAACAATATTTTCTTTGCAATGCTCTTCTCCTGACCAACTTTCTTTGAAATTTCTCAAGAAATATTAATAGATTTAGAGATAAGTACTTGGTGAGGGAAAGAAACATGGTTAGGGATCAGGCATCTTACGAGTATATTCATTTTATTAAGAAATGAGTGAGAGAGGGGGGAATATATAAAGTGAGAGGTAGGGAGAAGGCGACAGAGTGAGGAGAAGGAAGGAGGGAGAAGGCGACAGAGTGAGGAGAAGGAAGGAGGGAGGAGGAGGCAAAGGAGGAGGAGAAGGAAGGAGGGAGAAGGAGGGAGAGGCGACAGAGTGAGGAGAAGGAAGGAGGGAGAAGGCGACAGAGTGAGGAGAAGGAAGGAGGGAGAAGGCGACAGAGTGAGGAGAAGGAAGGAGGGAGAAGGCGACAGAGTGAGGAGAAGGAAGGAGGGGAGGAGGGCGACAGGGAGGACAGAGGAGGAGAAGGAAGGAGGAGGGAGGAGGCGACAGAGTGAGGAGAAGGAAGGAGGGAGGAGGCGACAGAGTGAGAAGAAGGAAGGAGGGAGGAGGCGACAGAGTGAGAAGAAATGAGGGAGAAGGTGACAGATGGTTAGAGAGACAATGCAGCATATGACAGTTTCTGAATTGTATTGTGATTATACCATTTAGCAGAAATGCACACACTGGTAACAATCTGTGGTAACCAGCCTACTGAGTCAGTCTGCAAGCAAGCTTCATGCCATCTACTCATTTTCAATCATTGTAGCACTGTGTTACAACAGTTCTGCGATCTTTACAGTGACTGACAAATTCAAGCAAGAGGTTCACATTAAATTTCATATGAACCTTGATGAATCTGCTATCAATATTCTTAAAATGTCTTGCCAGATTCTTAGCAAATAGGCTCAGTCTCTACTTTCCAGCCTTGATAGAATTCAATATAATTTATAGGGTCATGTTGGGGAAGTCTTCTTTTCCAGCCTGCAACCTCTTTCTCATAGAGGCCACACTGCAAGCTTGTGACTACTCTATCATGATTTCTATGGCAAATGTTCGGACAAGCCCCATTCTCTAATTGCACCAGTTTGGACCTTCACAGCTCGGACATGCTACGCCACTTTCACAGTGTCAAATCATCCTCATTTCCTGGATTTCAAATGTAATAAAGTTTCCTTCAGAAAGCTTCTTTTTCTTTCAAGAACTACCACTTTGTGGAAGAGACTACCACGTAATACCATACCTACTATTCTTCAAGTCTTCAGTTTTCTTCAAGTCAACTGTTAGGGGTACTTATCGTCCAGTTCACAATCCTCCCCAGTCTTTTGAACAGGAATAGAGGTTTATCTTTGGTTTCCTGTTTATGATTAAGTTTCCAAGTCTACTCTATACTTATGACATTTACGCCTGAATTTTGAACATTTATTTACTAATTTATTTATTTCTTTTTTTTTTTTCTACAATAGAAATTCATCACTTGCCCAGTTTACACTCCTCACCGGTGTTTTTGAACAGGACAAGAGATTTGGTTACATCCAGTGACAGGACCCAAAGAGTGTGAGTTCAATACCCGGCTAAAGCAGTGGAGAACTTTCAGATGGAAATTAACAAGAGATAACTGATATCCATTAAAAACATGGCACGTGGAACTAGAACAGTCTACCCCAGTGAGCAAAATAAAGGGTTATGGTCAACATTCCAACCATCTAACGAAGGCCAGAGCGTACAACAGCCGAAATGTTGTAATAAATATGGCGACAAAGATGAGGACAATAGTCTGAATAATGTAAATAATGGACTAGAGATTTCTCCCTCATTTTGAATTGAGTTTCCGATTCCTTCTAAATTCTACCTCAACTCCATATTTCTGATACCTCCACCTGAATTCTGAAATTTATACTATTATAAGGGTTCCAGTTCCTTCTAAAGTTTTTCCTTTCTCTTCCAACAGCCTCCTGCGTCTTAGTGGCATTATCACCTTGCTTGGAGTGAATTGATTAAATGACAAACAAATATCGTTAATTTTGTTGGTTCCAATTTGCCCAGGAATGATTGCAAAACACTTTCCCCTCCCCAATTTATAGGCAGAAGCACACAAATGCAGGCTGGGATTTATTCCTAGCTAATAAAATAGGCCAGTTATTGGTTTCATCTGACTTAGTCCCAGTCTGTCTTGTATTGAAGTCAGGCTGCTACATTTGCTTATCCAAACTTGCTCTTGTGTATCAACCCCAATTCTTAGTTTGTAAACTTTTTGCCATATTACTGAATAATTTCAAACCGAACCTTTTATTTTGTTCACTGGGGTATATTGTTCTAGTTCTACATGCCATGCCTTTTCTGGATATCTCAGTTTTAGTTATTTCCCTCTAGTAAATCAACTCTCCAAGTTTTTTTTATTCATCTCTGCTGTGACCAGGTATTGAACTCACACACAACTCTTTGGGTCAAGTCACTGGATTAAGTTAACTCATGCCTTTATCTACTGGACCATATGAAAAAGGCCAGAGCATACAACAGGGTTAGAGTGAGATAAATTTACCAAAGGTAGATGCACAGAAATGAATATAGCGAACCCGACTGGAATTGGAACTTGTCTCTTCGATTAACAATTCCAAGCTATTATCCTGTCGGAGTTAACTCCTCCTTTAGTTCGTTAACCCTTTCACCAGGGGTCTCTCTTCCCTGGCTATAAATAGTCGCCGACCCTTCGCCTCTTTCTCTTTTTTCCCCACTGAGGCCTTTGAGCTGACACCTGGAGGTAAATCTCTTTTTTTCTTCAGGCTTTCAGCCTTATTACCTCGAAGATGTGAATGCTCACGAGAGATAGCGTTTCCCAAAATGCTGGGAGCACGCTAAGCACAATACACACGCACATATATAATATTCACATACACACTTTGTCCTTTGTAACTGTTTCCATGTAACTTGTTATTAATATATATATTTGTATACATATATTATCGGTCTTGTGTTTTGTTTGTTTTCTTTGGACTTAATTAAAAGTCCAACTTTCTCGTGTAGTTGGACAAGCTGGTAGGAAAATCTGAACCCACGTGTTCCTTCTACTTCTACTCAACAACATCACAGCCACGGTCCGCTACAATCCATCATACCACCCACACATCCAAGTTTATAGCACCTGGTATTCGCAAGTGGTCACCCCTTTTAGGTTCTGACCAGTCTCGACATTGCTTAACTTCGGATATCATGTGGGAAACCAGTATTTCAAGGTGATATGGTCATGAGAACAATTTTCTTTAAAGACTTCCTTTTTGCTTACTTTCTCTGTCAGAATCCTTAACCGTAGAACCACATTTATATTATAAATTAGCCGAGAAGCTACCCTCCAGGCAGACTTTAACCCAGCTCCAGGTTTATTTTTTCTTTATTCGACACAATCTTTCTTCATATACACAATCTCTGTAGTTTGTTTACATTTATTTTGTGTGCAATTTTTATTTTCTTTTAAAAATCACCATTCTTTATGATCCCTTCACAAAGTCAATGTTAAGACATTAAGGGACGTGAACTACGTAAAATTTCAAATACATCACAGTACGCGGACAATAAAAAAAAAAAAAAAAAAAAATGAACAACGTACTGTGCTCAGCTTAGGTTTTAATTACAGTTTAATTAGACAATATCAATCGCAAGTGCGACAAAAAGCAAAATTAAAGTTAAACCTTTAATAAAGGATGCTTTTTTTTTAATCTTTCACTGTTGAATATTTAAATTTAACTGTAAATGAGCTACTTATTTAAGTTTTAATCACATGTAACTACAGTATTTACTACCTGTTGTATATGATTCAATGAGATCAAGAAACAGATTGATGCCAGACACATGTATATTGTGCTTTATTTTGAAGATATTGATGATGATTTCTAACAGGTGCTGACATTTTGACCATGATCAGATAGACTATAGTGCAGACGAAGTGAGACAAAATACATAAAACACAACAAAAAAAAAAAAAAAAGCGTCACAGAACAGGTTGCAGTGCACACTACTATATCTCTCTGCTGATTTGGAAACAACATTAACAACTTGTGCATGTTTAGACGATCATATCTACTTTCAATTCATGACTGACTTGGTGTGCATGCTTGGGAAACCATGTTTCCTTCTGATTGACTAGGCAGAAGAATTCCTGCAGTAGTCTGGTTACCAATCAAGGCCATGAGATCCAGAATGCCCTGTTATTTAACCCATAGAAAGGAAGGAAGAGATGGATTCATACCTCTCTCAAGGGTATTTACGTGTAAGTGAATGTAACAAGCTCAACTGGAATTCGAACTCAGCTCTCCAATTTCTCATTTAAAGCCGTTACACCACCTGCACATGCAAGCTTACATCACCTGGTATTCCTAAGCAGTTACACATCTAAATACTGACCAGGCTCAGTATTGCTTAACTTTGGTGATCAGTGTTCCGATATGAGTTAATAACATGACTGTAACCACTAGTCAATAAATACCAAAAAAGAAACTTATTTTGAACTTGGCCAAATATGGAACACTGATAAAGTTCCAGTAATATTTGGTGAACCATCCAAGAATTTTTTTCCGAATATTCTTTAATGAAATGAAAAGGGAGAGTTTATTATACCCACAGATCTTATCTATAATAAAATGCATGAGTTTCTTTCCTCAGTCTTATTTTGGACAGCAAACATATGCATTGCTAAAAATGTTTGTTTACACAATGTTACTTATTATATAGAAACTCAGGTAAAGAATACAAAATGGAATATCACCCCCAACACACACACACACACACACACACACATAAATATTACAATAAATGCTTGAAAA